TATATATATATATAGATAACTATATAACCAATAAGGATTAAATTGTAACAAACAAGTTAGTTGAGTGGAGTTTTTATGAATTTTTTAAGTTTAGCATGAAATGAAAGTAACGAAAAAGTTGGAGCACTGAGGATATATTTTCTTTTGGTACCTGTGGTGAGATAGTTGTCAATAAAATACATTTCTTTGTTCTTCTCCCCCCATGCCGGAGGAGAAAAAAAAAAGGGAAAAACTGCTGCTCATTGTCATTGAGGAGAATTTTTTTTTCATTTTTCACTAAGGAGTTATACAACCAAATTAGTAGCCGTTCCTTATCTCTTGTCCCATCATCTCACTTTGATTCCTTATCCTTTTTCTTAACTCACCTTTGCATCCATGACTCAAACACAGTTATTTTTTTTTTTTTTTCCTTTAACATAGGGAATTTTTGAGGTAAAGAATTAATAGCATTTGGACGTAGAGCTTAAAATTTTATGTTCTAACACTTCCTCATAAAAGGGTATAGCCAATTAGGTCACTTAGTGTTCCACGCAATTATTTATATTTAAGAGAGGAGATTATTATTAGGTCACATGATTATTGGCAAGTGGTTATGGAGTGTATTGTGCTAGCTAGTTAACAGTCATATAAATATATGATGATGAATAACAATTTTAACTAAAAAAAATTAGAGTTTTAACTTTAAATGATATTATTTTATTTAATTAAACTTAATTTAAAATATAAAAATTAATTTTATTAAATATTAATACTTGTATTTGAAAACTTAAAACTCAATTTAAAATTCAAAATATCTACCATATTAAATATTAATATTTGAATTTAGAAACCGATTATATTATAATATATAATCAGTATTTAAATTTAAATATCAATATTTAATAAGGTGGATTTATGAATTTTAAATTAAATTTTAATTAAATAAAATGAAACATTTTGATGTTGAGATTTTAATTTTTTAAAGCACCATGAGAAAAGACTAAAATAGCCTTATTTTTGCTTCAAAAATTATGATATTTTAGTTTTTTTAATTAAATTTTATTAAAACAACATAATTTTGGGTATTTTTTCTTGCTTATTTTTTACAATAAAAGTTGATATCCACTTATATATATATACATATACATGTACAAGTAATAAGGATTAAATTGTAACAAATATGTAAGTTGAGAATAGCAATCTTCCTTCCCTCTCTATCTCTAACCCTCATCCTCTTCGATTTCTCTTTGGTTCTTTTTTCCCCCTAGCCACTGTCTCCATCCTTCTTGGGGGTTAGGGAGGATGAATGAAAGTGAGAGTTTTTCTCTCTATTTGAGAGTTTTTTTTCTCAAATTGGTTTTGTCATCTTCTTTTGAAAGTTTTTACCTTAGCCTTTTTGATGTATCCCATTAGGTCTTGCTAATGGTAGTAAATTAACGAAGACAGCATAGACTCGAGGCTAAATAGGCTTGGTTAGATTGCAACACTTTTTTTAACTGTCGGTGTCATAGTCAAAAATTAGGGGTTTTTGGCTAATTTTTGACTTTAAAAAACACAATTCTGTGTTAGAAAAAGATGTTATGATAGGTGTGTGGTCGCTAGAGATAATAGAAAAACTCAAGGATCACATTTCTATATGCTTATTCATATAACCCTATCGATACCCTATGGAGGACCTTTATATGTTTTGATCTTTTTGAATAAAGCCATACTTTCCTATCAAAAAAATCGAGGGGTTCATTTATGAATTTTCGAAGTTAGGCCTGAAATGAAAGCAATGAAAAAGATGTAACACTAACGATATATTTACTTTGGTACATGTTGTAGATATTTATCAAGAAAATATAATTTTCTGTCGTTCTCCCCATGGCTTCTGAGAAGGGCAAAAATAAAAGAAAATAATATTTATCATAGCTTTAAGGTATCATCAACTCCCGACTCCCACCATTAGATTGTTTTCAGCAATATAAGTAATTGCCCTATTTCAAAAACAAGGTTAAAAATGGAGAATTGGTCCTCCATAAAACCGCATCGGATTACGGGCTTATTGTTTAGCATAGTTTATTTAGGAGTCCCTTTTATATAAAATGTTCTTGTTTTATAATTTAAATTGTATTTATTTATAAAATAAAAATTATTAAATAAAATAATAATTTTTAATATCAAAGTATTTGTCTCTTATTTAATTATTTATATTATGTAGTTTTGTACAATTTTGAGTGCATAATACCTTTTTCTAAATAAAA